TCAATAAATGCACTGGTTGAAGGATTGAATCCCATGTCGATAACCTTCTTGACACTTTTATCAAACTTTTCAGAACTTTCACACAATACACCGGGATTTGAGGTGACCAAAGTTGAAATACCTGATTGTGTCACTCCAATTCCTTTCAAGGCAGAAATATTGGGTACAACTTTCTTTTGCACATCATGCAAACAATATACCCACTTATAAATATTGACAATTTTTTCATTGTTGGAAACCAAACTCTTGAGGAAATTGTAATTAGGAATAATTTGTTTCTCTAAGCTCTGGCACAAAATAGTAGGGTTTGAGGACAGTACAATCGCAAGGTCAGCACTAGAAATCCCCACAGAATGGAAAAACTCAAGCTTGGGTAAAAGAGTTTCCTCAACCCTGCCTAAAAGCAATTTCGGTTTTTTTTTAACTAGTTTGGATATGTGCGCATTGGTAAACCCATTTTTCCTGAGAATGCCAAGTACAGAATCTGGCTTTTCTGGGGTTTCAAAAGCTACTTTCTTTGATAAAGAAGTCGCAATTTCTGGGGACAACCCACACGAGTTTATGAAATAAGACACTGTGAATGAATGTTGTTTTTCTCTATCATGTGCAACAACTTCAACCGATGAGAAAGATTTAGAAAAAAGTGATGTATTCTGCAAAACAAAACTCAAATGGATCGACGAGTATGCCACATTTCTCCAATTTGGGACTAGTTGAAATTGCAGTCTTTTGCAGCACAAAGGAAACATGGCCAAATCAAATAAAAATTAAGAAGAAAAGCAAGAAAGTACTCACGAATCGTTTCAAATTTTCAGCTTGAACTGGGTATTTGATTGCGAATCTGTATATAAATGGCCTCGTAGAATTACAACACAGATTTGATAAACTGCTGTTAGGGTTTTCCCTTTTCAATCTTGCGTTACTGCTCTCCATCACGCGACGCGACTCATTTAATTAAGAGAGAATAACAATTCCCCGCCCAAGGTTTGGCGTAATTATTTTCCCACCCAAAACTTTGAGAAAAACAATTGCCCACCCATCGTTAAGAAACGTCTGTTAATTTTAACTGAAGATGGATAGAATGGTAAATTCACTAGAAGCTTTAAAATCAACGATTTAAAATTTTCTTTCTTGGTCTGTGGACCATGTAACGAAGTTTCCCAAGGATAAGATTCTTTTTGCTTCTCCAAACCCAAACCCTACTCCATCATGAATTTCTTTAAATCCGTTTTTTCCGATGATACTAATTCAGTGATCCCCAACCAAAACCCGACTCCAAATCCTCCAACACTAAATTGCTACCAGATGAACAAAACCCAAATCCCAACAATCCTCCCAAACTCCAGCCTAGCAATCTGCAGGAGTTTGGGACAAGTCTAAGAAAGGAACTTGAGGTGTCCCAAGGATCCACAGGGATAGTTGGTACCGTCATTAACGAGTTTGGAAACACCGTTTTGAAAAGGACGACCCTGATCATCTCTCACGATAAGGATGCTATCCAAGCGATTGATCTCATTAATCCGATAATAATACTAATCAAAATAATAATTGTGGTAATACAAACCGTATAGTCGTTTTCATGCTCAAGTTCATGCAATTCAAGGAGATATAAATAGGTATTGTGAGGAAGTTGATGATTTAGATCAATATAATAAGTGGAAATCTAGGATTGTTTTGGATATGATGATTGAGGAAATTGAGAGCATGTTTGAACAAAATGGTGCTTCGTTGGGATGAGATTGAGGATCTTAGCAGCATTGATGAGAAGAAAGTGACTCATGATGGGAGCCCAAATAGAGCTGACTTGAGGAAGCGACTTCATGTTGCAAAAGAAGAGGAAGACTTAAGCTGGGATATTGAAGATGAGGACGAGCCAGTTAAAGCACAATACATCATGAATCTTAAGTTCTTAAATTCTTAGAATTAGGGCTGGTTAACGAACCGAGCCGCTCACGAGCCGGCTCGGCTTAGCTCGTTAACGGCTCGGTTCATCTGATAATGAGCCGGCTTGACTTAGCTCGTGAGACAAAACGAGCCAAGTTCGAGCCATACAAGGCTCGGCTGGTCAGGCTCGCGAGCTGCGCCTGGCTCGAAAAAATGGGGGGTTTTTTGAGAATTTTTGAACTATTGGTATTTAATTGAAAATAATGCAAACAAGTTTAAAAAAATAACAAAATGGCCCCCGTTATTAAACTCCCCAAATCGCAAAAAATCCGTCAGTAGTGGAACCCTTGCCGTAAAATTTGAATCAAACTCCACCCAAAGTGTTGATTTTCAACCAGATCTTGTTCATCTTCGTCAGATTTGCGGGATCTTCGTGGGATATTGTTCATCTTCGTCGGACCTTCGGCAGCCGTTGGATCTTCGTCATCATTGTCATCTTCGTCGGATTTTCATTAGATCTGAAGTTTCTTCGTCGGTTCGTCATCATCTTCGTCAGATCTAAAGTTTCTTTGTCGGTTCGTCATCATCATCGTCAGATCTGAAGTTTCTTCATCGGTTCGTCATCATCTTCGTTGGATTTTGGAGATGGCTACTGCCCAGACAAAGTTAAATTATGATTTGCATGTATTTAAATTTCAGACATTAGAGAACAACGAAACGCTAGCCAACAGAATTTGAAGAGCCCTAAACCTTTGAAGAATGAAGAAAATAATATTAAAAAAAATGATTTTGATTTTTTATTGATAAAATAATAAATAATTTAAACAAAAGAAAATGGAGGTAGGTAGTCAGACTGCTACCCAACGAATTTTTGAAAAAAAAAATGAATAAAAAAAAAAACAAAATTATTTGGAGATGGCTCGCGAGCTGGCTCGAACTCGATTAACGAGCCGGCTCGAAATATGCAAAATCCATTACCGATCTGAGCCGAGCCACATAATTTCTGGCTCGGCTCTACTCGGTCTCAGCTCGTTTACTCTTCCTCTCTCACGAGCCGAGCTCATTAAGCCGAAAACCCAGCTCAACTAGGCTCGATAACACCCCTACTTAGAATTGATTGCATTTCCTAATATGGAGGTGCTCCTTTTTACCTCCATATTAGGAAGAGGAAGACTTGAGTTGGGATATTGAGGATGAGGACGAGAGAGAAATTTTTAAGTAGTTGATTTTTCAACTTCCACTAAATTTATGATTATGTTTTTCTTTAGTTAAAGTTAATAGATAGATCATAATAATGGATGAAAAAAAAAAAAAATTCCAAAGTTTTTGGGTGAGAAAAAGTTTTCCACCATACCTTAGGCTGAAAATTGTCATTCTGTCTCAAAAACAATTGTAATTTTATTGTTGATTAAATTCTTGATTACATCCCTAATTAGATACGAAATTTAAAACACATAATTTAAGATAAATTTTCATAACCTTTTTAATTATAATTATTAAAAAAAAAAAAGATGTATTCATAATTTTATATTTAATTAAATATTAAAATGAAAATTTCTATAAAAACCTCATCATGTTGTCGAATTTCTTCTTTTAACTATAACTCTATCATTGTGTTAAGATCTAGAGGGTGAGGAGTCTTAGGTAGATGGTTTTTATGTGGGGTATACCTCTCAAAAGATTTATTAGACTGAATGAAAGAGTTTAAAAGTAAAGGGATCTTGACCGGGGTGTTGAGTGGCTCGACTCGGCACTGCTCATCTACAGTGAATAGGAAACTCACTTGTTGGAAAAGGATGATTGTCGGCTTAGTGATTCGATGATAGCAATGAAAGGGTTGTCAATCAATGGATAAAAATTACTCTAAAAATAACTAGTTAATCTTTCTTAAGAGTTCATTAATGGAAAAGTTTGACACTTCAATGTATACCGTTTGTCATCCAACGTTGTAGCACATCCAAATGTTTAGGTTATTCGCCTATAAAGTGGTACGTGAGTTGAGCTCATAATATCGTGATATAATATACTCCACATATGGTGTGGTGTTATTTAAAAGAAGATTGCAAAAGTTTTATATTGAAATCCAGACCAAGTGATCGATCAAGGAAATGTAATGTTCAGTTATACTCTGTTAAAACAAATTAAAAAACTAGAACACAAGATGTGTCTCTGAAGCACTTTTCAGAGGACATTAGCACACAAGGCATACTAAAATTCACTCCAAAATATAGTTCTAATCAAGCAAAACTCTACCTATCAATCCCCTTCACTGATGTCCCGAGTCTCAATAAACATATCCTCTTTCCCACAAAGGAATTTAACTTCACTGATGTCCTGAGTCTCAATAAACATGTCCTGATACCTGAAATGCACCTCCAGTGCAATGGAGATTGATAGAATATTGCAATTACAATTGTACAGGAGCACACATCAACCAAACAAAGAAGTTGCACAAGCAAAAATATCTATAATATTGTTCAAGTCAATCAATATCACTCATTCATTTCTTTCTCTGACCTCCAAGCTTCACTGTAATTTTACTAGCAAGGAAGGGCTTGTTAGAAACTTTAGGGACCCAGAGCAAATCAAAACCACATTATTGAATAAACTACAACACTGAAATGTAATAACCACCACTTAGAGATTATACAATCGTTTTAGGTTTGGAAAGTTGACATGCTACAGTTTGCTGGAAGAAACACAAATATTCATATCCAGAGCCTGAAAGCCTTCCTTGCTCTGATAGATATTCATCAATTCAGGAACCTTGTCCAAGTATTTTGTCACAAACCTATCCAAGAATACCTTCTCAACAAGGTGTACACATGCACATAGGCTCAAATTTTTCTTCACCAACCCCTTCGATTGCAGAACTTTAATTACCAAACACCTTAGGATTACCCTCTTTTCCAAATTCATAAGGAAAACCTTTGGAAACAAGGCAATATCTGTGGACTGCCAACCCATCTTGTTCAATAGAAAATCCATTCCATTCATTATTTTGCTTTCAGAGGCATTCATACAAATGGGGCATTTTTTGAACACCAACATAATGTCCTCATCAGACCACCCCCACCCTTTGAAAAGGTCAAATTTTTGTTCCAAAGTTGATTCAGTCATTGAGACAAACACTTCATTGCATGGATGAACCCACATTTCCTAGGATCAAAACCCATTTCAAGAACCTTCTTGAAATTTTTATCGAACTTCTCACGTTTTTGGAGGACTATAGGCGCATAACATGTTAAAATCAATGCAATAAATGGCGCGGGCATTCCAAGTTCTTTCAGGACTGCAAGTTTTGGAGACACATTCTTTGCCAAATCAAACGTAAAGAGCCATGATTCGTTTCTAAACGATTTAATAATATTAGCATCAGAGAGTGGCACACTTTTGAGGAATTTAAAGTTAGGAATGAGTAGGTTCTCCAAACTGTGACCCAAAATAGCAGGAGTTGAAGAGCAAACACTCGCAAGCTCAACATCTGTGATCCCCAAAGATTTGAAAAACTCAAATTTAGGCAAAATTGACCTCTCAGGATTGGCTAAAAGTAAATTAGGGCACATTCTAACAATTTTGGTTATATGGGCAGTCGTAAATCCACTGTTTCTTAGAACTTTCAGGACCGAATCTGGTTGTTCAGCAGATTGAAGCTTGATTCTTTTGGAGACAGATTTTGCTATTTCTGGGGACAACCCACATGAGTTTATGAGGTATGACACAGTATATTAGTTTTCCTTTTTAACTTGTTCTATTTTGGTGGAGAATGATCTAATGCCAGTGGGCAACAAACTCAAACACAAATCCACATGATTAGAGCCTAAATTTTGCACTACAGACTTGTAAATATTTGGTCAAACTTGAGCATTTACTAGCCTTCTATACAGATAACCACACATCATAATCGGTGAAAAGTGTTCGCTCACTAGCTTGTGGAAGCGAAGAAGAAGACACTTCCGCTAACTAGTGTTAGGAGCAAATGAAAATGAAAAATTCGTGTTATTACACCAACAAAATATTCCTGGATATGAAGCCAGTTGGAAAATTATTTTCATATGAGAGGCTTCAAATAATCATAGAATATCAAGAGAAAATTTTCTTCACCTTCAAGAACGGCTAAACCTAAGCGCAAAATTGTACCCAGCTGAGTTAAGGGCAATAGACACAAATTGTGAAGGACTCACTAAAAGTTTTTTAAATTTCATGGACTTGGGTGATTTTAGGCAAAATAAAATTTCGGGGCATTTTATTAAAAGACCATCTCAAGTTCAAATTTAATTAAAAGGCTATGAAGTTTTAAAGTGTTAACTGAATAGCCTTATTATTGATTAAGGGTAATTAAACATGATTAGTGCATAATTAGGATTAATGAAATATTGTGTAATCTTTTAAAAATTATCTATGTTCCCAAAAACCCGAAATTCTTGCAAACAAACCCAAACACCTTTTTCTTCCTCCCACCATTAACGCATCCCTACCCTGATTGCTGTTTCTTCTTAGCTTCGTCTACATCTTCTTCTTCCTTATTCCTCTACATCTTCTTCTTCCTCATTCCTCTATATCTTCTTGTTCCTCCTTCATTAATACTTTCTTCTTCCTTCACCATTAACATCTTCTCTGCCAAAGATCCGCCTCCTCCTCCTCTTGACGTTTTGTCCTTTACATTTTATATTTAGATTTACAAAGTTTTAATAAAGGATTGGGTCTAGGTTATGATTTTGATTTAGTTGTTTAGGTTGTTGGGTTGTGTTTGATGTAATGCAAGTTAAAATGAGTGAAATTTGTTGAATATTTTCTTGCATTATAGGTAGCTGGGGGTGGTAGCACCGATTGTAGGTGGAGATGGCTGAAAATATGTTCTAGATCTGATGGATCGCTTAAGCAATCTGGTATATCACCTAAGCGATCTAGTATAAGTCTGGTATATGGTAGCAGATCGCTTAAGCGATCTGGTATATGATAGAAGATCGCTTAAGCGATCCGGTATAAGTCTGGTATATGGCAGTAGATCACTTAAGCGATCAAGTATATGGCAGCAGATCGCTTAAGCAATCAAGCTTATTTGTACTAGATCTAGATCGCTTAAGCGATACACCAGATCGCTTAAGCGACTCTCCAAATGCTTTTTAAAATCTGTCAACCCTTAATATATTGGTTAATAATTTTTTTTTCTTTGCATTATAGGTACTTGGCTCTTATTAGACATGAGACGTTGTTTTGGGTGTTGAATATTTTGGTGAGTGGCTAGATGCTGTTTCGTTATTTGTTCACTAGTTTCTCTTGGTTGTATGTCAATCTTTTGTGGTGCATTAAACTGATTTTATGTCCTTGTATTTTCAACTATGCCATCAAGAAAAAAGATGAAATCGAGAGAGTTGCCAAGGCCAATTGTTGAAGACTTATTAGTGAATCATAATACAATTTTAATAGTTTTGAGGAGTACTTTATGAGATTCCCTTTTTGGTTTCATGGACTTGTTATGAATGCTTTGTTGTTTTCAATTTTTATGTTGACAATTGGATATCTTTTCGTTTGAAGTTTTGAATAGATGATAGTAAGGATGCTTCTAGTTACTTAATTGTTGCTTTTATTATGCTACTAAATTCATTCAATATTGAGATGTTATTGTACATATAAATTCATTCAAACGATAAAGACCGAAGAATTCTTTTCACATTCAAACGACAAATAATTAATAATTAATAAAAAAAAGACTAAATATTAAATAAACATTACGGAATATAATTTCTCACTCAAACGTTCACAATATCAAAAGATTGAGGAGAAAAGAAGCAAATTGGCCTTGGTCGCTTAAGCGACGTAGGCTGTCGCTTAAGCTATCATGGCTTATCTATACTAGATCACTTAAGCAACAGCTGACATCGCTTAAGTGATTGTGTATTTGAGAAGGATTATTCTAAGTACAAAAGAAAATTACCTTTGATCGCTTAAGCGATATCAGCTCTCGCTTAAGCGATGCTATACAAATAAGCTATGATCGCTTAAGCGATAGCCTACATTGCTTAAGTGACCAAGGCCAATTTGCTTTTTTTCTCCTCAATCTTTTGATATTGTGAACGTTTGAGTGAGAAATTATATTCCGTAATGTTTATTTAATATTTAGTCCTTTTTTATTAATTATTAATTATTTTTTTCATTTCAATAGAATGTGAAAAGAACACTTCGGTCTTTGTCGATCAGCACCGTACATAAAACTGAAAGATCTATTATTATTCTATTATTTTCGTTAGTTCTTGGCAAGAAAGTAATATATAAAAAATATAATATTGATATAAAATTGAACTCTGCAACCATCTACTTTGCACTCTGTAGACAAAGGCTAAATAGACGGGATATCTTAAGCAATTAAGGGTAATTTACTTCAATATTTCTATTTCATGTTTATGGACATATGTTTAATATAGACGTAAAAGAACTAATTTAATTAAAATATAATAACGGTCATGGTCCACTGAACGAATCATACACCTGATATGTTTAATATAGACGTAAGCATTCTACACCATATATGTTTAATATAACCGTAAAAGAACTAATTTAATTAAAATATAATAACGGTCATGGTCCACTGAACGAATCGTACACCTGATATGTTTAATATAGACGTAAACATTCTACACCATATATGTTTAATATAACCGTAAAAGAACTAATTTAATTAAAATATAATAACGGTCATGGTCCACTGAACGAATCGTACACCTGATATGTTTAATATAGACGTAAACATTCTACACCATATATGTTTAATATAGCCGTAAAAGAACTAATTTAATTAAAATATAATAACGGTCATGGTCNCCTCATATCACATGTGACTTATAAGTCATTTTAGTGGTGTCAAAATCAAGTATCAACAAAATGTTTAATCCAAGCGCTTAATTTCATGTGTAGTTTGTACTTAACTAATGCGCTTTTTTTCCCGAGGCCACAAAAAATAAATATAAATAATGAAAAATATTCATTCGTGGATGGATTTTCTTGAATGTCTCGCAAGTCTTATAATAGTTTTCTGTAGCTCTCTTAAATTTAAGCAAAATTTATTCCTTTAAATATGCTTTGATCTGAGAATTAAACCAATAACCAATTCATATCCCACACTTGTTACTAGGATTATCATTATCATTCTTATATCTTTGCTTATATTGCAAAATCTTTTAGCTATAATATTCAGAGGCATTTTGCTAAGATCATCCTGCACTATATTAATTGTCGAATTTTGTTGTATTTTCGACAAATTAATAAAATATTGACATATAAATAGTTATATTGATTAAGATTTAAAGTTGGAATTCCAATTTATAAAAGTAGCATCATTCTTATCATATTCGGCCAAATGCTTAATAATAATATCGTTAAATAACCATAATGATTAGTCTAGCGGTCAACTAAAACTCTGAGGTATTTTACTCAAAGGGTTTTGAGTTCGATCCACCTACGTTGTTAATGGGGTATCCACTGAAAGAATTTACCAGACCGTCAACTTCAAGATCACGGAAGATTAGTTGAGGTGTCACCAAACTGATCCGAACACCCTGTCAAATAATAATAATAATAATAATATCGTTAAATAAAAGTGATAACTGCCATCAATACCATCGACAACAATTTAAGTAACCTCTTCTATATTTTATCCATTTATTTAGAGCAATTATTTTTATTTTTATTAATTTTAAAAAAATTATAATGAATATTGAGGGAAACGATAGCGTGAAAAATAAAAAAATAGGCTACTTTGTATTATGCGGAAGAATAATACATCTATTCATCAGAAAGAAACGGATACGTATCTCTTTATTTGTAAATAATACGTATTTGATTTTCTGACTGATGTGACAATAGCCTTTAACAAAAACTATACCATATTAAAGCCATGGTCTAAGGGTGTGCAAAACCGGATATCTGATCTGGTTGACCTTTTTTCTGATCCGATCCAAATATTCGGATCAGCCAAGAAACCGATCTGGTTTCTCGACTGATCCGGTTTTGATCCAATCCGAATTTTTGGATCGGATCAACCGAATATCCTATTTTAATCCGAATTTCAAAACAACATTGCAACAAGAACTTTATTTGAAATTAAATCTTTTATATTTATCTAAAATTAAACTAAATTGGACTTAAAAGACATAAAGATATTATGAAATAACAAAACAACAATCAAATGGAACACAAAAAAATCTGCCATAGCAAAACAGCACCAAAACACCTTGACAGAGCAATGAATAGTACAGACTACAAAACAGCAGCAAGAAACCGAAAACTACAGCCACCAAACAGCCTGAAAAATGCCAGTAAACCAGCAGAGTAGACCAATACCTTTCGTTTGCTCTCCTTCAGTGCCGATTCTTCACAAAGAATATGTTGCTTACTGTTTATTTAAAACATTGAACCTATCTTGGAGAAAATTTAACTCCCCCGACATCCCAAGTTTCCATTTAACAAAATGGCCATGAAAATCTTTTTGATTTTTTTTTTTTGGGTTAAAAAATATGACGTGGCATACTTAAATGTAATTAAAGCAGCAAAAAGGATTAGGGTGAAAAGATTTAAACATTTGTGGGTTAGAGTATAATAAAGAGAAGTTGATTTAAAATTTGAAAGGCAAAATACATTTCTCTCAGCTTCTCTTTCTCAAAACAGGATTCAAACACCTTCCTCTCTCTCGTTTTTTCTTCCAATTTTTTGCAATTTCTCAATTTCTTTGCTCTTTGCATTTTTGTCATTCCTTGCCATTCCCGATTAAGTTATAATGGCTAAGATCCTCAAAGAAATAGAAAAAAAACCCATCCACTCCTCAAATTGTAGGCACCATTGGGTCTACCAAAAATGGAGAAGAAGAAGTTGCGGTGCAGTAACTTCCGATGACTGAAGTTGCTCCACCAGGAGAGGAGACGATGTCGACAGAAGACATTCTACTAGCGAAACAAATGAGGGCAGGAGTTGAAATTGAAATTGAAGAGGAGGACGCCGACGCAAATTCCAAGCGTCGGACATCATCGCTTAAGCGACCAAGAGTAAAAGTGAAGAATCACTTAAACGATCGTGCATCTGGGCAGAAGTTGATTCGGCCTCGGACATGATTGCTTAAGCGACCAAGGTTAAAAGCAAATGATCCCTTAAGCGATATAATAAATCGCTTAAGCAATCGTGCATCTAGGCACTTATTGATTGTCTTGTTCGTAGTCGCTGAAGCGATCGAAGATTGCTTAAGCGACCAACAGTAAAAGCGATACCTAGATCGCTTAAGCGATCGTACATCTGGGCAGAAGTTGATTCTGCCTCGGACATGATCACTTAAGCAACCAAGGTTAAAAGCAAAGGATCGCTTAAGCGATGTAATAAATCACTTAAGCAATCGTGTGTTTGGGCACTTATTGATTGTCTTGTTTGTGATCGCTTAAGCAATCGAAAATTGCTTAAACGATCGTAGATTGCTTAAGCGAGCAACAGTAAAAGTGATACCTAGATCGCTTAAGCGATCGTGCATCTGGGCAGAAGTTGATTCTACCTCGGACATGATCGCTTAAAGCAACCAATGTTAAAAGCAAAGGATCGCTTAAGCAATCTGATAAATCGCTTAAGCGATCGTGCGTCTGGGCACTTATTTATTGTCTTGTTCATGATCGCTTAAGCGATCGTACAATAAAAGCGAAGAATCACTTAAGTGATACCCAGATCACTTAAGCGATCGTGCATCTGGACAGAAGTTAATTCTGCCTCGGACATGATTGCTTAAGCGATTATAAATCGCTTAAAGCGACCAACATTAAAAGCAGAGGATCGCTTAAGCGATATAATATATCGCTTAAGCGATCGTGCGTCTAGGCACTTATTTATTGTCTTGTTTGTGATCATTTAAGAGATCTACAATCGTTTAAGCGACCAATAGTAAAAGCGAAGAATCGCTTAAGCGATACACTTAATCGCTTAAGTGATTGTGCATCTAGGTAGAAGTTTATTCTGCCTCGAACATGATCGCTTAAGCAATTTGTAGTCGTTTAAGCGACCAAAGTTAAAAGCAAAGGATCGCTTAAGCGATAGAATAAATCGCTTAAGCGATCGTGCGTCTGGGCACTTATTGATTTTGTCTTGTTCATGATCGCTTAAGCGACCAAGTGTAAAAGTGTAGAATCGCTTAAGCGATAACATAAATACAACCAGATCTCTTAAGCGACTAAGTCTAAATACACAGGATCGCTTAAGCAAGAAATGAAATCTCTTAAGCGATCCAGTGCATTCGGATTATTTTTCTTGTATTTCACTAGATCAGTTAAATGATTAACGCTATCTTAGACATATAAGGTGTATGATTCGTTCAGTGGACCATGACTATTATTATATTTTAATTAAATTAGTTCTTTTACGGCCATATTAAACATATATGGTATAGAATGTTTACGTCTATATTAAACATATTAGGTATACGATTCGTTCAGTGAACCATGACCGTTATTATATTTTAATTAAATTAGTTCTTTTACGGCTATATTAAACATATATGGTGTAGAATGTTTACGTCTATATTAAACATATCAGGTGTACGATTCATTCAGTGGACCATGACCGTTATTATATTTTAATTAAAATAGTTTTTTTACGGCTATATTAAACATATATGATGTAAAATGTTTACGTCTATATTAAACATATTAGATGTACGATTCGTTCAGTGGACCATAACCGTTATTATATTTTAATTAAATTACTTCTTTTACGTCTATATTAAACATATGTCCATAAACATGGAAAAGAAATATTGAAGTAAATTACCCTTAATCGCTTAAGCGATCCCATCTATTTAGCCTTTGTCTACAGAGTGCACAGCAGATGGTTGCAGAGTTCAATTTTATATCAATATTTTTTTTTTTTTATATTACTTTCTTGCCAAGAACTAACAAAAATAATAGAATAACAATAGATCTTTCAGTTTTACGTACGGTGCTGATCGACAAAGACCGAAGTGTTCTTTTCACATTCTATTGAAATGAAAAAAATAATTAATAATTAATAAAAAAGGACTAAATATTAAATAAACATTACAGAATATAATTTCTCACCGAAGTATATCGCTTACTGCATCGCTTAAGTGATCTAGTACAAATAAGTCTGATCGCTTAAGTGATCTGCTGCAATATACCTGATCGCTTAAGCGATCTGCTGCCATATACCAGACTTATACCAGATCGCTTAAGTGATCTTTTGTCATATACCAAATCGCTTAAGCGATCTGCTACCATATACCAAACTTATACCAGATCGCTTAAGCAATCCATCATATCCAAAACACATTTTCAGTCATCTCCACCTACAATCGGTGCTATCATCCTTAGCTACCCACAATGCAAGAAAATATTCAACAAATTTCACTCCTTTCAACTTGCATTACATCAAACACAGCCCAACAACCTAAACAACTAAATCAAAATCATAACCCAAACCCCATCCATTATTAAATCTTTGTAAATCTAAATATAAAATGTAAAGAGGAGATACACATACTTAAACAAAATGTCAGGAGGAGGAGGAGGCAGATCTTTGGCGGAGAAGATGTTAATGGTGGAGGAACAAGAAAGTGTTAATGGCAGAGGAAGAAGAAGATGTAGAGGAAGGAGGAAGAAGAAGATGTAGATGAAGAAGAAGATGCAGAGGAAGAAGAAGATGTAGACGAGGCTAAGAAGAAACAACAACCATGGTAGAGATGCGCTAATGGCGGGAGGAAGAAGAAGGTGTTTGGGTTTGTTTGCAAGAATTTTGGGTTCTTGAGAACAAAGTATAATTTTTAAAAGATTACACAATACTTCATTAATCTTAATTAAGCACTAATCATGTTTAATTACTCTTAATCAATAATAAGGCTATTTAGTTAACACTTTAAAACTTCATAGCCTTTTAATTAAATTTAAACTTGACATGGTCTTTTAATAAAATGCCTCAAAAAAAAAAAAAAAATCAAAAACCTTTTCAAGGCCATTTTGCTAAACAGAAACTTGGGATGTCCAGGGAGTTAAATTTTCTCTGAAATTTCGTTAATGTTTAACATTTGATTACTGTAATTTGTAGATGCATCTAAGAATGTCAAATATGATATGATTCTTCCTCAAAGAATCGCTTCAATAATAATAAGTTGGTATTAAATATTACATCTTCTCTAAACCTGGAAAGAAAAAAGTTATTAATTAACTAGCTTTTCAAAAACCACCATTTTGAATGCCTCTCAAGCAAACCGTGTCCAGTATTTGACCCCAATCGGTTTATCCCATTTAACTTAATTTACAATTTTTCCTTTCTTTGCTTGTTATTATTCTTCAGAGGAGTCAAAACTATGTCCAGTAGTCCCATTTGATAATTACTCTTAGAATAATTAAACAATGAGAACTGATACAAGAAGCTCTAAGCTGTATTCAGAGCTGAATAAGTTCAGGGCCAAAGGCACTCACATTGACAAGCAACAATAAAAAGAAAAAAAACCAACAAATAACAAGCTACTGTTGGTTTGTCTTAGGTTTTTGCTAAAATCCAATGCCCAGTTCTGAAAGATCAACTTTCCCTTGATATATATCAAATAGTTGTGGAAGCTGTTCCTGATACTTGAACAAGAAATTGTCTGCGAAGAGCTTTTCAGAGGAATTCAGCACATAAGACAAACCGATTTTTTTCTTAATCAAGTCGTTCAACAACAAAACCCTGAGAACTCTGCATCTAGGGATGATTCTCTTCTCCAAACGAAGAGTTAAAGCCACAGAGGTTCTAGCAACCGCTGAAGGTTGCCAACCCATCTTGTTCAGAAAAAAGTCCATTTTGGTATTTATATTCTCCATAGACAGAATCATACATCTGGGATAGCCTCTAAAAGTTAACCAGAAGTCATTTTCAGACCAACCCCAACTCCTATAAACCTTCAGTTTTTGTTCCCAGGAATTGTCTGTCATGGCCATAACTGCTACAAGTGCATGGACAAACGCACTGGTTGAAGGATTGAATCCCATCTCGATAACCTTCAGTTTTTGGCTATGATATATTGAAGAAATTGAAAGCTCGTTTGAACAAAATGGTGCTTGGTTGGGATGAGATTGAGGATCTTAGCAGTATTGATGAAAAGAAAGTGATTCATGCTGGGAGCCCAAATCTTGATACGCCCTGAATCTTAAGTTCATAAATTCTTAGAATTGATTGCACTATACACCTTTTTACCCGCCACAATAAATAATTGATTTTCAATTTACTGATTTTAAAAATAGTGCGAAATTGTTTTTCTCTAAGCTCTTTCCCACAAGGAATTTAACTTCACCACTGCATACCTGAAATCCGCCTCCAGTGCAAGGGAGATTGATAGAATATTGAGAGTACAATTATACGTGAGCACACATCAACCAAACAAAGAAGTTGCACAAGCAAAAATATCACAGCATCATATCTATAATATTGTTCAAGTCAGTCAAACTCATTCATCTCTTTCTCTGACCTTCAAGCTTCACAAACAATCAAATGCAAATTGGAAAGCGATGAAAACAGTGTTGCTCTGCAGAACTAACTAAAGTAATTCAACATTGTTCAATAAACTAAAAAGTTGAAATGTACTAATCACCAATTAGAGATTATACAATCGTTTTAGGCTTGGAAAGTTGACATGCTACAGTTTGCTGGAAGAAACACAAATATTCATATCCAGAGCCTGAAAGCCTTCCTTCCTTTGATAGATATTAATCAAATTCAAAAACCTGGTCCAAGTATTTTCTCACAAACCTATCCAAGAATAGCTTCTCAGCAGGTTTTACACATGAACTTAGGCTCAAATTTTTTTTTCACCAACCCCTTTGATTGCAGAACTTTAATAACCAAACACCTTCGGATTACCCTCTTTTCCAAACTCATTAGGAAAACGTCTGGAGACAAGGCAATATCTGTGGACTGCCAACCCATCTTGTTCACAAGAAAATCCATTACATTCATTATTTTGATTTCAGAGGCATTCATAAAATTGGGCCATTTTCTGAAAACCAACATAATGTCCTCATCAGACCATCCACCCCCTGAAAACGTCCAATTTCTGTTCCAGAGTTCATTGACTCATTACAACAAACACCTTCATCGCATGGATGAACCCACATTTCTGAGATTTGTATAACATGATTTAATCATTACTTCCTCCTGTGTGTTTTCATCAACTTCATTCATTTCAGTTTGTCCAATTAAACAATGAGAACTGATACAAGAAGCTCTAGGCTGTATTCAGAGCTGAATAAGTTCAGGGCCAAAGGCACTCACATTAACAAGCAACAATAAAAAGAAAAAAACCAACAAATAACAAGCTACAGTTGGTTTGTCTCAGGTTTTTGCTAAAATCCAATGCCCAGTTCTGAAAGATCAACTTTCCCTTGATATATATCAAATAGTTGTGGAACCTGTTCCTGATACTTGGACAAGAAATTGTCTGCGAAGCGCTTTTCAGAGGAACTCAGCACATAAGACAAACCGAATTTTTTCTTAATCAAGTTGTTCAACAACAAAACCCATAAAACCCTGCATCTCGGGATGATTCTCTTCTCCAAACTATAAGCTAAAGCCATAGGTGCTCTAGCAATTGCTGAAGGTTGCCAACCCATCTTGTTCACATAAAAGTCCATTTTGGTATTTATATTCTCCACAGACAGAGTCATACATCTGGGATGGCTTCTAAAAGCTAACCGGAAGTCATTCTCAGACCAACCACAACTCCTGTAAACCTTCAGTTTTTGTTCCCAGGAATTGTCAGTCATGGTCGTAACTGCTACAAGTGCATCAATAAATGCACTGGTTGAAGGATTGAATCCCATGTCGATAACCTTCTTGACACTTTTATCAAACTTTTCAGAACTTTCACACAATACACCGGGATTTGAGGTGACCAAAGTTGAAATACCTGATTGTGTCACTCCAATTCCTTTCAAGGCAGAAATATTGGGTACAACTTTCTTTTGCACATCATGCAAACAATATACCCACTTATAAATATTGACAATTTTTTCATTGTTGGAAACCAAACTCTTGAGGAAATTGTAATTAGGAATAATTTGTTTCTCTAAGCTCTGGCACAAAATAGTAGGGTTTGAGGACAGTACAATCGCAAGGTCAGCACTAGAAATCCCCACGGAATGGAAAAACTCAAGCTTGGGTAAAAGAGTTTCCTCAACCCTGCCTACAAGCAATTTCGGTTTTTTTTTAACTAGTTTGGATATGTGCGCATTGGTAAACCCATTTTTCCTGAGAAAGCCAAGTACAGAATCTGGCTTTTCTGGGGTTTCAAAAGCTACTTTCTTTGATAAAGAAGTAGCAATTTCTGGGGACAACCCACATGAGTTTATGAAATAAGACACTGTGAATGAATGTTGTTTTTCTCTATCATGTGCCACAACTTCAACCGATGAGAAAGATTTAGAAAAAAGTGATGTATTCTGCAAAACAAAACTCAAATGGATCGACGAGTATGCCACATTTCTCCAATTTGGGACTAGTTGAAATTGCAGTCTTTTGCAGCACAAAGGAAACATGACCAAATCAAATAAAAATTAAGAAGAAAAGCAAGAAAGTACTCACGAATCGTTTCAAATTTTCAGCTTGAACTGGGTATTTGATTGCGAATCTGTATATAAATGGCCTCGTAGAATTACAACACAGATTTGGTAAACTGCTTTTAGGGTTTTCCCTTTTCAATCTTGCGTTATTGCTCTCCATCACGAGACGTGACTCATTTAATTAAGAGAGAATGACGATTCCCCACCCAAGGTTTGGCGTAATTCATTTCGCACCCAAAGACTTTGAGAAAAACAATTGCCCACCCATCATTAATAAACGTCTGTTAAATTTAACTGAAGATGGATAGGATGGTAAATTCACTAGAAGCTTTAAAATCAACGATTTAAAATTTTCTTTCTTGGTCCATGGACCGTGTATCAAAGTTTCCCAAGGATAAGATTCTTTTTGCTTCTCCAAACCCAAACCCTATTCCATCATGAACTTCTTTAAATCCGTTTTTTTCCGATGATACTAATTCGGTGATCCCCAACCAAAACCCAACTCCAAATCCTCCAACACTAAATTGCTACCAGATGAACAAAACCCAGATCCAACACTCCTCCCAAACTCCAGCTTAGCAATCTGTAGGAGTTTGGGACAAGTCTAAGAAAGGAACTTGAAGTGTCCCAAGGATCCACAGGGATAGTTGGTACCGTCATTGACAAGTTTGGAAACACCGTTTTGAAAAAGATGACCCAAATCATCTCTCACGATAAGGATGTTATCCAAGCGATTGATCTCATTAATCTAATAATAATACTAATCAAAATAATAATTGTGGTAATACAAACCGTATAGTCGTTTTGATGCTCAGGTTCATGCAATTCAAGGAGATATAAATAGGTATTGTGAGGAAGTTGATGATTTAGATCAATATAATTAGTGGAAATCTAGGATTGTTTTGGATATGATGAATGAGGAAATTGAGAGCATGTTTTTGGGTGAGAAAAGTTTTTACACCATACCTTAGCCGGAAAATTGTCATTCTCTCTCAAAAATAACTGTAATTTTATTGTTAATTAAATTCTTGATTACATCCCTAATTAGATATGAAATTTAAAACACATAATTTAAGATAAATTTTCATAACCTTTTTAATTGTAATTATAAAAAAAAGATGTATTCATAATTTTATATTTAATGAAATATTAAAATGAAAATTTCTATAAAAACCTTGTCATGTTGTTGAATTTATTCTTTTAACTAGAACTCTATCATTGTGTTAAGATCTAGAGGGTGAGGAGTCTTGGGTAGACGGATTTTATGTGGGGTAGACCTCTCAAAAAGATTTATTAGACTGAATGAAAGAGTTTAAAAGTAGAGGGATCTTGACTGGGGTGTCGAGTGGCTCGATCCGGCTCTGCTCATTTACAGTGCATAGGAAACTCACTTGTTGGAAAAGGATGACCGTCAGCTTAGTGATTCGATGATAGCAATGAAAGGGTTGTCAATCAATGGATAAAAATTACTCTAAAAATAACTAGTTAATCTTTCTTAAGAGTTCATTAATGGAAAAGTTTCGCATTTCAATGTATACCGTTTGTCATCCAACGTTGTAGCACATCCAAATGTTTAGGTTATTCGCCTATAAAGTGATACATGAGTTGAGTTCAGAATACCGTGATATAATATAGTCCACATATGGGGTGGTGTTATTTAAACGAAGATTGCAAAAGTTTTATATTGAATTCCAAACCAAGTGATCGATCAAGGAAATGTAATGTTCAATTATACTCTGTTAAAACAAATTAAAAAACTAGAACACAAGATGTGTCTCTGAAGCACTTTTCAGAGGACATCAGCACACAAGACAGACTAAAATTCACTCCAAAATATAGTTCTAATTAAGCAAAACACTACCTATCAATGCCCTTCACCGATGTCCTGAGTCTCAATAAACATATCTTCTCTTTCCCACAAGGAATTTAACTTCACCACTGCATACCTGAAATACACCTGCAGTGCAACGGAGATTGATAGAATATTGCTTATGCAGGAGCACACATCAACCAAACAAAGAAGTTGCACAAGCAAAACCACATAATTCTTCATCTACTAGTCAATAGTCATGTAACAAATTAGCTTAAAAGTTTACAACATTCTAAATATGAACTAAAGTATACAATCAAATGCAAATTGGAAAGCGATGAAAACAGTGTTGCTCAGCAGAACTAACTGAAGTAATTCAACATTGTTCAATACACTAAAAAGCTGAAATGTACTAATCACCAATTAGAGATTATACAATGGTTTTAGGCTTGGAAAGTTGACATGCTACAGTTTGCTGGAAGAAACACAAATATTCATATCCAGAGCCTAAAAGCCTTCCTTCTTTTGATAGATATTAATCAATTCAGAAACCTGGTCCAAGTATTTTCTCACAAACCTATCCAAGAATAGCTTCTCAGCAGGTTTTACACATGAACTTAGGCAATACATCAGGAATCTTAAGTTCTTAAAGTTCTTAACGAATAGGGCTGGTTAAGACCGAGCGCTCGAGCGAGCCGGCTGTCGCTAAGCTGACCTAAGGCTCGGTTATCGATAAGTGAGCCGGCTTGACTTAAGCTCGTGAGACCAAAACGAGCCAAGTTCGAGCCATTCAAGGGCCTCGGCGGTCAGAGCTCGGAGCGCGGCCGCCTGGCTCTGAAAAAACAGGAGGGGTTTTTACGAGAATTTTGAGCACTATTGGTATTAATTGAAATAAACTGCCAAACAAGTTGTAAAAAAAGATAACACAATGGCCCCGTTATTAAACTCCCCAAATAGCCAAAAAAAAAATCCAGTCAGTAGTGGAACCATTGCCGTAACACATCTGCTCGAAATTCAAACCCACCAACGTCCGTTGACTTTATAAGATCTTGTTCATCCTCGTCAGCTTTGCGGGCTCTCGGGGGATTGATAGTGCATCTTCGTCGGACCTTACGCGAACAAGCACGTGGATCCTTGCGTCATCATTGTCATCTTCGGTCGGTATTTCATTAGGTGTCTGAGATGTCTTCGTCGGTTCGGCCTACATCATTCGTCCAGATCTAGATCCCGTCATTCGTTGTGCTCGTGTTGAGTCGATTCTATCATCGTCAGATCTGAAGTTTTCTCACGGTTCGTCACATCTGTCGTGGGATTTTGGCGATGGCTATCACATCCCGACGTGACAAAGATCTATAATATCTCACTGACTTTGCAGTGTATGCATATTAAGTTCAGACATTCCATAATGAGAAAAATCGAACTACGCTCTGCCAAGATTTGAAGAAGAGCCCCCTAAACCTTGAAGAATGAAGAAAAATAAAATAAAAAAATGATTTTGATTTTTTTTTATTGATAAATAATAAATAATTAAAAAGAGATTATCGACCTTCTACCACAAAACAACATGAAAAAATGTAGTAGCATAGATGCTCCCAATTTAATCAATGACCTAAAAAAAGAAAACAAAATGATTTGAGATGGCTCGCGCGCGTGGCATCGCCACATCGCGATTAAGAGACGGTCCGAAAATCTGACTTCCACAGATCCCCATCCAGTACCGATCTGAGCGAGTCTCAGCAAGATTACTCGCTCATACATTCTGTCCGCTTACTTCAGTCTATACTTACTTCTTTCTCTCCCGCAGTACCGAGCTCACTTAAGCCAAGAAACAAACCAGACTCACATAGGCCCGTAACCACCCTACCTTAACGAATTGATTCATTTCCTAATATGGAGGTGCTCCTTTTACCTCCATATTAGAAGAGGAAGAATTGAGTTGGGATATGAGCGAGAGGACAGAAGAAATTTTTATAGATAGTTGATTTTTCAACTTCCACTAAATTTATGATTATGTTTTCTTTGTAAAGTTAATAGATAGATCATAATAATGATGAAAAAAAAAAAAATTCCAAAGTTTTGGGTGAGAAAAAGTTTTCCACACATACTTAGGCTGAAAATTGTCATTCTGTCTCAAAAACAATTGTAATTTTATTGTTAAATTTCTTGATTAATCCCTAATTAGATACGAAATTAAAACACATAATTTAAGAAAATTTTCATAACCTTTTTAATTTAATTATTAAAAAAAAAAAGATGTATTCATAATTTTATTTTAATTAAATATTAAAATGAAAATTTCTATAAAAACCTCATCATGTTGTCGAATTTCTTCTTTAACTTAAACTCATCATTGTGTTAAGATCTAGGGTGTGAGGAGTCTAGGTAGATGGTTTTTATGTGGGGTATACCTCTCAAAAGATTTATTGCGAATGAAAGAGTTAAAGTAAAGGGATCTTGATGCTGGTGTCGAGTGGCTCGACTCCGGCACTGCTCATCTACAGGAATAGGAACTCACTTGTTGGAAAGGATGATTGCGGCTTAGTGATTCGCGATGATAGCAATGAAAGGGTTGTCAATCAATGGAAAAAATTACTCTAAAAATAACTAGTTAATCTTTCTTAAGAGTTCATTAATGGAAAAGTTTGACACTTCAATGATACTACGTTTGTCATCCAACGTTGTAGCACATCAAATGTTTAGGTTATTCGCCTATAAAAGTGGTACTGAGGTTGAGCTCATAAATATCGCTGATATAATATACTAGCACATATGGTGTGGTGTTATTAATTAAGAAACGATTGCAAAAGTTTATTATGAATCCAAGACCACACAGTGATCGATCAAGGAAAGTATGTGCAGTTCATACTCTGTAAAACAAATTAAAAACTAGAACACAAGATGTGTCTCTGAAGCACTTTTCAGAGGACATTAGCACACAAGGCAACTAAAATTCACTCCAAAATATAGTTCTATCAAGGCAAAACTCTACCTATCACAACCCTTCACTGATGTCCCGAGTCTCACAAAAATATCCTTTTCCCACAAGGAAT